CCCCCAAAACCCCAAAACCCCAAAACCCCGCAGACTTCATATGTTGTTGTAAATTAATTATCAAACAATATGAATCCAGTATTTGTTAACATTTCTGAAAGTTGACTATTCTCGATATTCAATAGCCGAAGTTCTTCCTTGATAGAAGAGAAAATTTGGTATTTGGCCTGAATTTCCCGATCCAGTCTAGAAATATCTTCCTCTGCTGCCTTAAGTTTAGCCTATAAGGTTGCTGACTTGGGAGTACCTTTATTTTTCTAGTTCTTCTTGGGCTTTTTATGGTAGAAGCGAGGTAAGGATCAGCTACTAGATCTCTTTCTAAGCTACATTTGTCTACTCGGTTTACACTCTACTGGGTTAAACTAGAAAAATTACCTTTCAAATCTTTTGCCTTCACTTTCTTTGATGATCTGAAGGCCGAAGTATATTAAAATATTCTTTCATTTTATCAGAATCTCTCTCTTCAATATCTTTCTTCGCACACTTTTTGAATGAGTCATCAAGTCCAGAGATCGATTTCATGCTACTATTATTTCTTGGTTTGCAAGTACTCAGCAGGCTGCTCCTCTTTTCAGTAAGTTCGTATAGGTTAGCGTGCTTTTTCTTCACCAATCTTTTTGGTTTGCAAACTTTTGATTCATTCTCTGATATTTCAAGAGTCTGTGAGTATAAATACTCATTTTCCTCACTAAATATAGGAGTTAGAGGTCATTTTTTTGGGATTATTATTGGCAAAATAACCTACCCGACTACTGCATTTTCCAAATCTGCCAAATTCTTTGGTGCCACTTGCTTGCGAATTGGCTTCTTATGCAGTCTCTTCGGTCAAGGTTTATTCTGAACCACTGCTATCTTAAACCGATCATATTTGCTAGGCTTAATGCAGATCTTATTAGAAAGAGTCTAGCTGGTCAGAAAGAGTAAAACTTACATTCAGGCTTGAGAAGGAGTCAAGAGATGTATCAAACTCCTTATTATGGAAAGTCTTGTTAGCTTCCTCACTCTCAGACATTTTAGTAAGGTAGACATTAATATTCTGCTTCCTTCTCTTTCTTTTCTAAAAATAAAATTTATTTCCTTACAGCTGAAGACTTTTGAAATTTTGGAGATACAGCTCTTTTGCAAAATGGTGAGGAGAACATTCGCATAGTATTAAGCTTGGAATCACTTCTCTGAACTGATGGCCTACATAATTAAATTAGAAAAGTCCCAGTGAGGACTTACACTTCATGATGGGGTTTGGAAGTGAAGGCAGTGCTACTACAGCTCTCACTGTTTTGGAGAGTACTCATACTCGTTATATCTTTTCTCAAGTGAACTTCTTTCTATATCACCGATTAGTTCTGTAAGCTAAAGCACAAGCTAAGTGGGAATTACCCTTGATTTCTTAATGGTTCTAGTCTTCCGAGCAGACTCTACAGTGTTGTTGTTATTGAGGGCTTTTAGGTATGTCCTCATGGCTTCTGTGTCAGCCTTGTTCTTCCTCACTTTGAAATGACTCGCAACATATTGCTGGAAGCTTACAGGGACTTCACTATCTCATTTTCGCTTTTTAGCTGTTTTGTAGAACTTTTTATTTACTTTAACATTCTTAGACCTAAAATAATTTTCTTACTGGTAAAATTTCGAGAAATCTGAAACATGGCTGAAGAAATTATTCGGAAATTTTACTGTTACCAAATTTCCTCCATCAGCACTGCAAGAAATGAAGTAAAGGATGCTGAGTTTTTGTCAAAATTTTTGAAGTGAATTAATTATTAGAATATGAGCAATGAACTTACTTCACTATTTTCTTATCTGCACTTAAAAGTGAACTGTTCATTTTCCTAAAATATATAACAATGCAACAATATTTAATCCTATTATTGGGGTTTTGGGGTTTTGGGGTTTTGGGGTTTTGGGG